CTCCTCCTTCCTAATCCCCAAGGAGAGCAGCAAAGAAGCCCCAGTCCTCTCACTTCTTTGCCTTGCCCTCCCCTGATTAGCGATAGGGGCCGTTTGATCATGTTTCCCTGCCTGTCCTTGTGATTTGTAAGCTGTTTAAACGTGAACGAGGCAATTAAATAAGGACGAACGGCGCGTAGGAGAGTGGGTGCCGCGGTGATCATTAACGATGAATTACCCTGGTGTGCACTCAAACACTCGGGAGGACTTTCAGGCGGACCACTCCCGAGGATCCAGATCCAATCTAGCCATTGATTAACAGAGACTTGTTCTTCCTGTGAAATCACTCGACGGGGATTTTAGGGCACTCATCCCGTCTTATCGAGATAGGCTAACATCAAAGGCGAATGAAGAGGGATTGGGTAAATGGGCTCGCCTTGCCCTCCATGTAAGAGACTTAGAGGAGCAAATCTTGAATTATTGCCTCATGTAAATAATCTACTTGGCTTGTTTTTTGGGGAGGTGAGAGAGGAACTCATGAGTCACTTGGGGTAGAGAACTCTCCAAGTACTTTGGAAGCTCTCATATTTCCCTTGATGGGAACAACGGTGGGGGCTCCGTTCCCAGGAATGTAAACAACACCATGTTCCTGCCTCGTGTGATCTGCCCCAACAATCTGAACGCGTTAAGCCGGCGAGATGTAGAGGTATTAGTTTTCGAGGAGGACTCTCATACCCTCTGAATACAAATATTGTATTCAGTAGCCTAATTCCTCTAATTTGAATATGATTTGATTTAAGCTGAATAAATAAGTGCCGCTATTAGTCTCAAATTGGAAGGTATGAAATTGAAAAATTGCACAGTGCCTTTAGTAAGAGTGGTATTTAAGCAGAGTGTCATTGGCAGCCTCTTGTGAAACACGTGTTATATAACACGCAGTGACCATACATTAGTGGAATGCATGGCATCGCTGGAATCGCTCTTCCATTCAACAACACCAGCGGCTTTTAAAAGCAGAGGTTACTGGCTGAGGACATTTTGTTCAAAACAATTTCTTTTTCTCTGCTCCCTCCCATCGCCCAGTGAGCTTAGGCTGCAGTAGATGGAAAGGGATTTTCTCTCCCTAAATGGCCAAGGGGGCCGTTTACGGTGTCACTACTATGGGATCACATGATGTTTGAGGGTGTAAAGGTCTCCAGGCAGCTGCTCCTTTTCGGATGGGATTTTCGAGGCGTCCAAGAGCAGGGCCCCATGCTGTCTGCACTGAAAGGTGGAGCAAATACTTCTAGCAAGAAAAAAAAAGAAACGCTGAAATCCTCAGAAGCTGTGTGTCTATTTGAAATGGGTTCTGGAGTCCCTCGGCTGCCTTCATGTTATAAACACCCACAGTGCTCAAATTCTTCTTTTGTCAAGGAGTCATAACAGGTGTCTCAGGAAGGATTTTTTTTCCCGGTTAGCATATTTTCCACTTGCATGGAAAGTTTTTTTTCTTTATTAGGAACATTCTGCCCTGGGTAGACCCCTTGCCTTGAGACATGATATGTAGACTTTCTTTGAAGCAGTAAAGGTTACTTTCACACTCGCTCAAAATTCAGCCATGCCTAGTTAAACCAGGTTGTGCTGCAGTATTGAACACCTCTGGCTGACATATGTTGGTAAGCCGTGATGCACTTTGCATACAAATTACTGCTGTCTGTGGCCAGTATATACAATAGACGCAACACATTTCTACGCTCAACCTTGAAATTCAAGCTCTCTCCCGCAAAACACGCCACCTTTGACCTCCCCTGAAAACATGTTTGTTTTTTAAATCCTAAAATGCGGTGGAACCGTGCAGCACAGGCCTTTACATAACCAGGGCCCTTGGGATTACACTCCAGCATTTTCTCAACAACTCCTCTTTCTCACTTAATTTAAGGTGAAATTACACACAACGCCAAAGGGAATAGTGTGCTGCACCTTAAACTATTTAGCATGTCATTGGATTTCTCCCCCCTCCCATGTAAATACTCCCACAAATGAACAGTCTTCAGCGTACAGTCGAGGGGGAGGAAGAAAAAAAGGAAAAGGCAGAGGACCTCTTAATATGGCGTATCATCGTGACTGCAGTTAGGTCAATTACCTTAGCAGGGTGGACACGTTTGTATAGCCAGCCCCCTGGGAGGCTGTTTGTGTGAACGATGTGGAGAATACACATTATTCATGTTCTCAGCCTGAGAGATAAAGGCTCTATCTGGCAGCGTAGCGCGGCTTTGCATCACGTTCCGCCTAAGCATCGAAGCTATTGATGTTTGAAATGGCAGCATGATGGGAAAAATACAAAAATGATAGAACTGCCTTCAGTATTTCAGTGCGGACCCAAGGGTGTTCCTGTGGTTTATGTTTGAAAACTCAGCAATTGTTTACTCCGCGTTCCCCCATGTAATGTCTGTTTTCTTGACTCATTGTGTTTAGTCTGTTACAGACATTTCTAAACTTTGCTGTATGGTTCAGACATCAAACATTTAATCAGATGTGGTCTCTCCCTAAACAACTTATTTGGCTATCAGGTTTTAAACATGAGGAAGTTGTAAAACCTGTTTTTCTAATTGCTCTGAAAACATCAACCATGAAATAGAAAATAGTCGCCCCTATCTGCCAAGTCAGAGATGAATAGTTCCTTTTATTTCTTGCATCCCTTTGAGGAAACCGTTCAAGTTCCACAGAAATATCTTTCACTGCTCATCTTGCTTTAATACTGTAGGATAACTAGGACCATGTGTGAACAATGTTCCTCCTTCGCTTTTATCAAGCTGACATTTAGACCCCGACTGCCTCTTTTCAGCTCCAGCAACATTTGTGGTCAAGTATCCCAGTTAACAAAATCCAGCATCTTTACTGGATGCATTCTTCTTTTCTTTTTTTTCCTCTTTTCCTTCATAGCAGTTTGTACAAACAGCTTTCACCTGAATGTCACAGTTGAAGGACGGCAAACATGTTTTCCACTTCTGACTCTATTCTGGTTCTGGGTTTACGTGCCGCTGTCATCTGTAGCTGTTGGGACAGAAATGACTTTAAACCTTTTTTATCTGATGGATCCTTATAAGTGTGACTCGTCATATTCAAATGTGTTCATTGGAACTCATTTTCAGTTGGATCTTATTTAACACTGTGGATGTTTTTCATCTATCAGAGTGTTTAGGTCAGTTCGATTGATTTATTAGTTTAAACTGAATGTTTTATTATCTGTGACTGCCAGCTTTCAACAAACTCAGCGGTTAAGTCGTTCTATTGTTACGATTGTTACGTCACCGTAAACTTATCTGCTCAAACCTGTTCAGATCCACTAGGTTCTTTAATTATACAGTAATTTGTTGTTGTTTTTTTATTTATTCATTTATTTGCTTCAGATGAGTTGAGCTAATCGTTCCATGTGACCTCCAGCTGCTGCAGAAGCAGCTCCTGTGGTCACTAACTTAACCCAATGATTCCTAACAAGGCGTTAAAAGAGAAATAAATGCATTTATTTATTTAAAACATATATCCACATAGAGTAAGCTGTAACTTAACTAAACTAAAACATCTTGCAGTTGAGAGCGTGGAAAGTTTGCAGTTAATAATTAAAGAAGTAATAAATACTCTGTTTAAAAATAGTTACCAAAAATTAATGGCTAAATATTTCAAACCGATAGTTTAGTTGATAGATTAACACCTGAGCTAGCTAGCTAGCTAATAAGTAACTGACTGCAAAACAGTGGTTTTAGTCGGGTGGTGTTATCACGCAGTCTGGTGTGTTATCATGCTAATCTGAGCGCTAACTTTAGAATGTTAGCGTGCTCACATGCTAGTTAGCAAGTCATATAGGCGTACTAAGAGTTTAGTGGTTACCACGTGCATTAGCTTGTGATGCTAACATCCATAGTTTAGCTTGATGCATTAGCCAGGCTGAGACTACATCTGAGACTTTATTTTGTTTGTGTACCGGCTGGAAAACGGGACATGTTGACGGTGATACAGGATCAGCTCAGTGCTGCCACACCAGGAAAACATAAACGGATTATATGTACCATGAAAAATGTATTGGTGCAAAAAGATGTTGTTCATGTTGTTGGAACATGTGACGTTACCGTGATATCAGAAGAAAATGTTCTCATTATAACATGACAGCTGATAACTGAAAGGCTTTTTACATCTAGATGTAACAAGAAAATCATCTTATTACATCAATATGTTAATATCTGGATATTTCATGTTATGACGTGTCATGTAATTGTTATAAATTGTTATAACGTTGAACGTTTTTACAGTGTAATGTAATGCATTCATGGTTTTAATACAGAGTGAATAAATGCACATGAAGCAGGATATTGTTCATTAACAGCAGGATCTCATCATGTTCGTTCACTCCACACAAACTATTTCCTCATCGTAACGTGAGTTATGACAACATAAGCAGAGTTATCAGGCTAACATGAAATATTTCACGTTATAACAACACAGCTTATGACATTGGATGTGATTTAAGAACAGCTTATCAAGTTCAACATGAAAGGTTTTACTTTATGACAAGTTAGTTGATATATTGATGCAACAAGAAAAGTTTCTGTCATAACCAGGATGTCATAATAGCACCAAACACATCTTGTTCTAACCATAAACTTGATGTTTTGAGGTGAGGATGGTGTTTCTTGTTTCCCATAACAAGGTTACTAGCATGCATCTTGTGAATATAATGGCTGTCTGTGTGTGTCCAATATTTTTGAGGTGTTTCACATGTTCACACCCTCTGTGACTATAGCTGTTCTTCATTTCTACATGAACAATGTCTGCCACTGGATCTCCTGTTGACTAATTTGTGGCACTTATGAAATAGCGTTTCTCATCCCTCCTACACGTGTTGCAATGCGCCAAGTGTTGGGAAACCTGTTGTTAACCCATGTTACAGGTGTTTCTTAATTCTTTTTTTACCAGCAGGTCTGGTGTAAATCACTCTGTGAGTAATCCTGAATTTGTAGCAACTCTTGTTGTCCTCTTTATTTCAGGTTTGAAGAACTCGTCAAGAGGAACAAAGTCGAATACCATGCCGGCGGGTCTACCCAGAACTCAGTGAAAATTGCTCAGGTTAGTGGTGTCTGGCCCTCTGCAGTGAGCCTGAATGTGTTTTGAATATACAGTGGTATGCTTGTAACCTTAGATTTGTCAGCCTGGCAGCCCTGGGAATACAGAGCATAGCTGCACAGCACGTTGACACATTACAGTTTGAGCTGTTGTGAATTCATCAGACCTGCCACGGAAAGAGAAAGGCGGGGAGGATTAATAATATTTGCAGTGTTATCTAGTTGGCCTAATTTCCTGAGACATATCAAACATCAATTAGAGAGAATTACAAGTAGATGCAATTAACATGTCACAACAAATTATATCAAACGAATGCTGATCTTCTCTCTGGCTGTTAGACAGATTCGAGCATCTAAAAGAAATTGGTGATTGTCCAAATCTAAAATGGCAATCTGAACTTTAGAAGATTATTCACTGAATCTTTTTTTTTTAAGTGACTGCAGTAAGTCTCTGAATTTGACATGCAGTGATTAGCTGCTGATAAGGCTTTGGTCTGCTCACAATAAACAAAGAAAAAGCATCCAGCTGAAAAATAATTCTCTTCCAAGGAGGAGAAATGAGTGCAGAAGCTAATTGAGAGGCTGATGTCTGTGAAAGCGCCGAGCCTTTCTTGTGTGTGGGTTTTTTTGTTTGTATGTGTCAGTGCAGTGTGTAGCGCTTGTGTTTGTGCACGTGTGCGTATGTGCTTAGTGTGTATTTAGCACAAGATGGATACAGAGCGAGGGAAAAGAAAGCGAGCAGCCCCTCAGGCTGCCACCGTCTCCATGCTTTGGAGACAGTAAACATCCTTTAAAAAGAGACGCGGAGCTGTGCACCTCCATACAAACACTCTTTAATTATCAAGATCAGAAGCGTTTGCATAAACCTCAGTCACTCAAAGACATTAACTGTCAACTTGATTTTATTCTTTGGGCAACAACTCCCCCCTTTTTAAAAAAAAAAAAATGCTTGTGTGCTTGATGCAGTTTAAAAAACCGTCGGCTCACTTTTCTAATTGAATCAGTTACGAGCTTAAAATAGTACGAACCAGACGATTTCCTCCTTTTGTGCCATTACTCCGGCTAAAGCCACACGTTTAGTTTGGTCTGTTTCAGTTAAGACGTAGACCTTGACAATGATTTTCATGTTTTATTTAAGAAGACACTGAAGAAACTCGCCCCAAGCAGCGTATCGGCTCCCTTGTGAAATCAGATGGAGAAGGAGATTTTTATTGCCGGGCTTTGCTGGAGAAAGAGCCGTCATGGCCTCTGTGCCCCGTGAGAAGCGTTCAGTCAACTAAATTGGTGTCATAATGGCATGGCAGGCCCTAGTCAAATGTTATTCTGCTCTGTTTATTTGGATATTTACCCCCTTCAGAGGGAAGATGTCGGGCTGATTCTGAAATGCTCAAGATAACAAGAGTGTTTTCGTCCCACACCCAGAAGTCTCAGAAACAGTTTCTGTCAATATATACCTTGAAGCACTGACTTTTCCACATTTCACTTTCAGGTGATGGTGTTCTTTTATGAAAAATGTATAATGCATAACCGGCTCCCAGATTATCACATTGTAGCACCTGCAATATGTGAAACTTCAAACCCTGCTGTATTGTGGAAGCTGAACCTTCAAACACGAATGATATGCACTGCAGCACTGAATCCACATCAAAGGGGCCCAGTGACTAAATGAGATGCTCGATCCAGGGCAGGTTTGCTCAGGAGCACCATCGCCGCTGGAGGAGAGAGAGAAGCGTTCAGAGGCTTTGCACAGGAATTGCTGCACACGCTGGGAAAACCCAGGGTGTGGGAGGATCAATGCCTTCTCCAGCACAACTCGTACTTCCCTCCAAAACCCAGGCGCTTCAACGGAGGCTGTAATAGGTTAAATACTGCCGCCTCACCCAAGTTAAGATTTCTGCACTATCAAGGAAAACCTAAACCTGGGCTTTAAGAAGATGCAGAATCGATGGTAATTGGATTTAGTCAAATGAGAATTGACCAAGCTGAAGCTTAGCTGGATAAGTATTGTTTTCCTCTAACCACCTCTCTGGCCGACTCCTTCATCGAACTCCTCTGCTGCCGTGTTGGTTAGTCACCAGCGGGTTGCGCTCGGCGCTATCTTTAGCCTTGACACTTTCCATTTTTCATTTTTCTTGCATTATGGCTGCTGCCACTGCTTATCCATATTCAAATCACACATTGTGACAAACCAGAAGTGCCAAAGTAGCTGTATCAACACATTTGTACTTCCTTAGCTGTGCACCAGCGCTCCTCAATAAGCCTTAGATCTTGTTTGGATCAAGTCAGGGAAGTTGCAAGCTTGTATGCAGAGCTCTCTGGCTCTGATTCTTCAGGAAAAAAAATGCAATGATAGAAGTGGGTTGGAGGTTGCTGCCTTTGCCCAGGCTCTAACAAACACCATGCCCTGAAGGGGCATCCAACATAAAGGCTTACCTACTGGATGTTGCAGGGCTGTGAGGTAACAAAAACCAGCCCAGCATTGCCTGCTCACATACAGCCTCCTCACACATCAAAGGGCTGCTGCTCAGATAGGGCACGGCGGGAAACAACAATCACTGTTTTTTCACTTATTTACAAAGTTGAAGGAATAAAAAAAAAAATAAAAAAAAAGTGTGGCCTTTCTGAGCATGTGATCCAGACTTTGGTACCGCCGAGCACGCATGGTGTTTATCACAGGTGACAGAGTTGGTAGGGGGAGTCGGTTGACTGGAGGGCTGCATCAAGAAGCACAGTCAATTCATTTAGACAGAACATCAAAGTCCTCCAACAGCTCCTTAGGGCCCCCAGATTGAAGTCTGAGCAGAGACAGGCTCATAGGGAGTTATTGCTGCTGCCAGGGAAGTAGATCCTGCTCAGAGTGCCTCGTGTAAACCGTGCATTCTCATTATGATCCTCACAAATCAGCACCATTGACGTATTGTATTTCTTTGCTCTGTAAGCAGGCTTTGTACGCGATCACCAAGCGGACAAATTGCTTTGTCTAAGTGCCCCAGCAGCGAATGTGTCGCAAAAAAGTTATGATTAAGTACGTTCCCTTTTTTTCTTTGTTTAGATCTTGTGCAATTTTTGCAGCCTGCATCATCAATTCACCGCCATGTTTTAATTACTGTTTAGAAAGTAAAGGCTTTTGAAAAATCTGCTGTCTCTGTCATGGTTATGATGCCTGTTTAACATTTCCTCAGACTTGGTCAATCGTGAAAGGGGTGAATGGGGCCCAGCCTTGGTTGTTGGCTCTGAGCTCTTAATTGGAAACGCATGTGCACCACACTGTTGAAAGTTGTATTTAAAAAACAGAAAATCCCACAGCACTACTTGACTCCGAAAAAGCTCCTCACCAGCTCATATTTTGCAGGAGAATATTTAAACTGGGTTTGATGTCTCATTGAAGGCAGTGACTTATTTCTCGGGGTGAAAATATTCCATGACCTAATGTTTGGCTTTTACAGCTCGTTTTGTTAAATAAATAAAGAACAGCAACTTGCCTCCATTTGAACGGCCTAAATGAAGAAATGCCTACGTCTGGTACCACTTAGAGAAAAGAGGACAGTTAAGGAGAAAGAGTGGAGCTTTTGTGTTCAAAGTATGTGACTGAACTTTCAGGAGGATGTGCTTATGCACTAAAAGGGGCATTTATGATTTTCTTTTTTTGTTGCGTTCTGTTTTTACTTATTTTCTCACACTTAATGACCAGAATTAAAACAAATACTCTTTGTCTGTGCAGAAACTCGTATGAGATGGTGCTTCGTTCTTGACTTTCTTGTTTGTGATCGCGTTGACTGAGCTCGTAGCTGCATAGATCTCAGTGCAGCTGAGCTGAAATGAGCACGCTAATGACCGATTAAAACCTGAACCCTGGTGGGGCTTTGAGTTTCACGCCACAGAAATCAACCCTCTCAAGTATGTGCCTGTTGTTAAAGCAAAACCCTCTTGTTTGTTTTAAGACAGGTTAATTGCAGAACCACTGTTAGCACCCGCTCTGAGCCGTTTTATGGCACCGGGGTCTTGTCGTTTCCTTCCCATTACGAAGCAGTGAAAGGTCACAGTCTGTTAAGCTTCTTGTGAGAGATGCATGAAGCCAAATGGATTTTTTTATTTTTTTTTCCCTGTTTCATTCTCATCTCCACTCATTGTAGACATTCCAGGTGTGCAAGTGTGCACTTGAGGGGGGCTGCCATTGTTTTTCTCGGCACAAGCAGCGGAAGCAAAAGAACGCCTCATTCGCTTTGATGAGCGATGTGTTCATGCGTGGGCTTCAATGTCACCCGCCATGAGGCAGCTGTGAAGTCGCAGCTCATGTCTGTGGTGCCATTTACTCAATGATGAAGTGGGGAGATCTCTGTTGGTTCCACATTCACCTCCCCTTTACACACATGTGCGTGCACACACACTGTCTGAGCATGTGTTCCTCCCACCTCAACTGTATTGTGACTGTATGTCACAGCTAATAGCAGCATGCATTAAATCTCAGGCTCTGTGATCAGTGATAAAGGTTGACTGGGCGATTATGCAAGGCTTTGTCATCAGAGGGAATTAACAGCTGATGGCCCTGCCGCGTGGTGCCTCCTTTCTTGTGTTTCCTCGAATTTGACTTTCACACGAAAATAATTTGTTTGATTTAATTTCCCCTCAGTCGCACGAGATTTTTGTTGCCCCAGCGACAGGAAGTGGCACAGATTGCCATATAGGTGACATATTACCGTCCCAGTTGAAGTTAATTTGCCGTCAAATTTGTGACTTAATTTAAGCTGCCAAAGGGAAGACGTGGGGAGTAGATTGTAACTCATAAGTATGCATTGGAAAGAGTTTTGATTAACATTGAGGGCTCGAGAGACAGACGCACTCAATGTGTATCATCTGGCCTCAGAGGCTGGCAGTGGAATTGAATGTGATATCTTGCATAACGTGTCCTTGCTTTAAGTCCTTGGTTCCAGGCTCAGGAAGAAAGGCTTCACCATTGGCTTGCTTGCTTTTTTTGCTTGGCGGTTGTACAGTTGCCCAGGCTCC